ATGATTTGATGATGGTATCACATCCATGAAAAATTCATTTGAGTTTTTTGTGTTCAGTGTGTTGAGTGGCTCGCTGAAAATAGAGTCGTACTGCTTCCTCAGTAGCTCGCTCATTTCTTTGTTGTCATCGGTGAAAGTTCCATCTCCCTTTCGCAGGGGCTCGATACTAGATGTGGTTTTTGATCTTGATTTTGCATAGGAGAAAAAATATTTCGGATTTCTATTTTACTGATGGCCTTTTGCTCTCTTTGCCTTTCCTGGGTTTTGTATGATTCTTGTAGCTTTAGTTCAATTATTTCTATTTCTCTACCTAACCTTCTTCGCCGTTCTTGAGGTAGGGTGCGACTCTCAAGTTGTTCCGCGATTCGTTTTCTTCGCCAATAGAGGGAACGACGTTCACGTTCCAATCAGCATATCTTCCTCTTTTTTCTTAGGGGTATGCGGTTTGAACATATTTCTAGTGCTATTGAGCTTATTTTTTCCAGGCAGTTCAGGTTTGCATTTTCTAGCTGTTTTTCCCAGTTTATTTCTGTGAAGTCCTGGTTTATTTGCTCCCAGTTTATCTGTTTATTATTGATGTTGAATTAGCTGAAATCTCCTCCGCCGGGAATCGGGAGTGGGTTTGAAGGTCTATTCCCCATGATTGTCAGAACTTCAATTAAGTTGTGATCTGAGGCACTCCGGGGTAACTCACCTAGTGTGTGAGTGTGTCATTAGTTAATGTAGTTACAGGATGAGAGCTCCGCTCGTGGTGCAACCCGTTCTCGCACTTTCTTGAAGTCAATATTGACTTATTAAATAAGTGCATATGTGACATACTAATTTATTATGAATATTTTAGTTTACCTTGAAAAGGTTCATAGAAAACACCGACCTTACCTAACCTTCTTAGTATGTTAAGATAAGCATCTTATTGCTTCGTAATTACAATTATTACTTAACCTATTATAGGTATAGGTTAATTAATAATTGTTCAGGACAATAAAGCCATAATAAGAAACCTTTACTACAGGTGACCTTAAGATATAATACTTTACTATCAAAGAAACCAAACTAAATGGACGAATTTTGCTTATCCTGTCAGCCTTGTGTGCTGACCCGAAATGAATTAGGCATCTTCCAGGGGCCAGGATTCATCAAGTACCCACGTGTACTCCAACGAAACCTCTACATCTTTCCTCAATCATAGCGGCTAAGTTTGAAATTATTAGTTTACAAGTTCCGAAGCGCCACGAGGATATATAATAATAATAATAATAATAATAATAATAATAATAATAATAATAATAATAATAATAATAATAATAAGCTTGGGTTGAGAACCACTTCACAGCATTTCCAGGGTCGTAAGATGTTTAAAATATAGAAAGCCGCCATAATCTAGGAAAGATCTATAGGTTTCGAAAGTGCTTGATTCTTGGTACTGGAAAACCAAACAATTCTTGTTAGAATGGAATGGTAGTGTGTATACAGATAACCGTAGAAGACATTAAAACACAGACACAGTGGACGACACACACACTGTCACCTTAAACCAAACACAATGGAAGAGAGAACGTCATCTTACACAAGACAGACAGACAGACTCCAAACCTGACTTCCGACAATTATACCGTGAAGAATGAACCCTAACCTAACCTAAAGGTCGCATATAACCCACACATCACCGGTATAAACGCTGGCGTTATCCATAACACAGTAATGTATCTGTTATTCTCAAACTCGTCCCCGATCTAACAGGAGCTGCAAATCCCATTCTTGAGCACGCTATGAAAGTCCTGAGACTTGAATTGTGAGGCGATCAAAGCTCTCTCAAGATATACCAGTTCCCGGAGTCTCCTGCTATCACGCAACTCAAAATAGAAAAGTATTGCTCCGTTCCTCTCCCGAAGGAAACATCGTGTAATCCGAAGGCAAAATATCTTGATGTGCTCAATGAAAACATTTTGATATGTAGGAAAATAACTACTTTTGACATTGGGAAAAGAATAGTTGGATATTCTTAAGTCCGGGGACGTTTCTCACGCGGCGAGGAGATGTGGAAGCTTCTGTGATATCCATCATTTGTTATCTTGGAATAGATGCTGCTGACACGCCCCTCTCAATCACACGCACGCCCCCCCCCCTAGGCACGACCCCCCCTCTTTTCCTGCCAAGCACGCCCCCCTTCCCCCACCATCCTGGCAGGCACGGCCTCTCTGATAGACGTACCTGTGTACCTCGCTGCACGTACACCAACTTTTGTTTACCTTCATCCAGGAAGGAAACTATAAACTACACAATTTATTTTAATATTAACAATTTTATTTTGTCATAATAACACACACACATTATACACACACATCATACACATACACACACATATATATATATATATATATATATATATATATATATATATATATATATATATATATATATATATATATATATATATATTTTTTTTTTTTTTTTTTTTTTTTTTTAAACCTAGAAGGGGTACCACCTCTGGTGCAAGTGTAGGGACCCATAGCCTCGGAGAAGAAAATAAAGAGTACTCAGAGAAGACCTTGTGGATCCTCACTGAACACTTTGATATTTTCTTCTCCTACCACCCCTATTCTTTTGTTAAGTGTGTATATTTATCTAACTTTATTTGAAAATGTCATTACACAAAAAAAGTTACAATGTTGATTACATGCAGGGTACAAGGCTGCTTGTCACAAGTTGAATATATATATATAGCAGTATACACAAGCAGTATATATATATATATATATATATATATATATATATATATATATATATATATATATATATATATATATATATATATATATATATATATATATATATATGTTATCTCCAGTGTTATCTTGAACATACATCATATGAGGACTGGACAACCCATTCACCCCCCCTCTACACCCCCCCCCCCTCCGTGCAGTAGTCAACCCTCCAGCCTACCCCCCATTAGCACCCCCACCCCTCCTCCCCCCTCAACCCCGGTGCTGACTGTGTGTATACACTTTCCCTAATATTATTACACATCTGGCGTCAAACAAACTACACAAGTTTGTATAAAACAAACACGCAGGGATGAGCACCGGTCAGGCACTCGGGCGGACTACAAACCTGCCGGGGGGGGGGGTAGTTAGGGAGGGAGGGAGGGGGTAGAGAGGGAGGGAGGGAGGGGGTAGAGAGGGAGGGAGGGAGGGGGTAGTGAGGGGGTAGAGAGGGAGGTAGGGAGGGGGTAGTGAGGGAGGGAGGGAGGTAGAGGGTAGGGACGGAGGGAGGGGGGTAGTGAGGGAGGTAGGGAAGGGGTAGTGAGGGAGGGAGGGGGTAGGGACGGAGGGAGGGAGGGAGGGGGTAGGGAGGGGGTAGGGAGGGGGGAGGGAGAAGGGAGGGGGGAAGGGAGGGGGGGAGGGGAGGGAGGGAGGAATAGAGGGTGTAAGAGGAAAGGGACGGAGCAGGCTCCTGATGTGGGAGGGGTGGGGGAAGATGATGGGAGGAGGAGGAGGATTGATAAATAATTTACAAAACGCTTTAACGACATTGAGAGCGTCGTATAAGTGTAATACATTAGCCTACCTTCTTGGTTTGGTTTGCAAGCTCATGACTTCCCAACTGGAAGAGTAAAACCGGAAGGGACAGGGCTCTCCGACCTGAATTCTGGTATCACGAATTATCTGGTCCTGTCATCTAGGAATGTTCTGCCTCTGACGCTCCTCTACCCCACATACAGAATAGTCACACTAACATAATGCAGCAATGAAAAAAAATCCGTATAGGAGTCGTGATCAGGATTCGAACCTACGCGGGGGGTGTCCCCAGACACACGCCACGACATAGTCAAAAGAATGGCAACCTGGGGACTCTACTACACGCACGAGGCTTCTTGGGGCTTCCACTTAAGCTGGAAGTCATTACAGGGGGTCATTATGTGAAACTCTGCTTCGGCTTCAGTGGAAGCCTCGGGAATCCCCTTGGGGTGCAGTAGTACTCCAGGTTGCAATCCTTTTGACCATGTGGTGTGGCCCAGTTGTCCGGAGCGTGTGTCTGGGAACACCTGGCGCGTAGGTTCCAATCTACATCACGGCTCCTACGGATTTTCTCATTGATGAAGTCACGTTAGAGTGACTACTCTCTGTGTATTGAGAGAGAGAGAGAGAGAGAGAGAGAGAGAGAGAGAGAGAGAGAGAGAGAGAGAGAGAGAGAGAGAGAGAGAGAGAGAGAGAGAGAGAGAGAGAGAGAGAGAGAGAGAGAGGCTGGAAGAGAGAACAGGGGACCCGGAAGCCCATGATGCCCTACCACTAACGTATAATAATTAACTATTAATACATATCTATTGAAATGGAGTAATCTCTGTAACTAGCTGACATTATAATTATAACGTGTAAACGACAGATGAAATTATTAATATAATAATCTCCTTCGAGGTCTGATCCAGGCCTTTTGTGCTCTCTTTAATCCCCTTTTTTTGCGCTACCGCTCACAGGATGAGTATGGGGTGCACAATAAACTAGCCGCCTTCGGAAGCAACAAGAAACTCAAAATGATTCCCTGTTGCTTCTCACAAGGAGCCTAACCTTGCCCAGACCAACGTACTTAAGGTACGCACCGTCTCCTGGCAACCTTATGGGCTTAATCTTCATCAATCATCATCTTGGCAACCCACTTCTATGTCAATATGGCAATTAAGCTGCCAAAGTCTCCAGGAAGGAACTCAACCTAGATGACAATCTATGGGACCATGCAACACTACACTTGGGGAAATAGACATACATGTAAAGTGTGTATATATAATATATGTATATTATATACACCGAGACACTCATCAGGGCCGAGGCCCGCGGCGGGGACGGGTTGTACACACACACCCGGCCTCTACAACCGGCCTCTACAACTGGCCACTACAACCGGCCTCTACAACCGGCCTCTACAACCGGCCTCTACAACTGGCCTCTACACCCGGCCTCTACACCCGGCCTCTACAACCGGCCACACAACCCACAACCAATATGGCCCGACAGTGCCTGCGTCACTCAGGGTGCCAAGGTAAGTGTGGTGCTGGAGAGTGTCAGGACATATACGCAGGTGTGTTTGTGCTTACCCACCTACAAGTGTTTGCAGGGGTGGAGAGGTACATAGCTCCTGAGCCCCGCCTGTACAGGTGTGGAGTGTTGCAGTCTATGACATCCCTCTGGCTCACATCTGTCACCAGCTTTCACCTGTGTCCCGTTGGTCTAACCATTTTAATTTGATATATATTATTTCTTGTCCGTTCTATTTATTCCCATCAGTATCTTATACGTCGTTATCATATCTCCTCAATTAGTTTTAGCTCTATCTTTGTGAAGCTGAGCTTCTAGATGCAACAGATTCCTCTCAGTTCTCGAACAAATCTTGTCACATACTAATGAATTTTCTCTATTTTCAGTTGGTGGATTTTACGGTCGTGGTCTCCCAAACGGAGCTGCATATTGAAGTGATAGTCTTACATAGGTTGTAAAATAATGTTCAAATAGGCATTATCTAAATACATAGAGGCTTCTCCGACATGCACCGCGCATTTGTTCGGCTCATGCTGTTGTGATGCTAATGATTTTCCAGCAGAGAGTGAGTGAGAGAGTTAGGAAATGATTAATGACGAGAAGGAGAATTACAAATTATCAGTACCGCCGGGTATAAACGGTACGGAGGCGGGGTATAAGAGCTCTTATACCCGTTCTCGCACTTTCGTATAGTCAATATTGACTTATTTAATATGTGCATATGTGACATACTAGTTTACCTTGAAAAGCTTCATAGAAAACACCGACCTTACCTAACCTTCTTAGTATGTTAAGATAAGCATCTTATTGCTTCGTAATTACAATTATTACTTAACCTAATATAGGTATAGGTTAAGCTGAGCTTAACCTATTATAACCTATTATAGGTATAGGTTAAGCTGAGCTTAACCTATTATAACCTATTATAGGTATAGGTTAAGTAATAATTGTAATTACGAAGCAATAAGATGCTTATCTTAACATACTAAGAAGATTATGTAAGGTCGGTGTTTTCTATGAAGCTTTTCAAGGTAAACTAGTATGTTTAGTATGTCACATATGCACATATTTAATAAGTCAATACTGACTGTAAGAAAGTGCGAGAACGGGTATAAGAGCTAGAGCTCCCTCCCCCGTAGTCAGTGATAGGTAAACATTGAGGACAATATACTCCCAGGACCTTGAAGAGAGGCGCGGGTGGTGACCACAGCCGTCTACACAAGAGAAGACCTTTATACAACCTTGATGGGTCATGATGTACACTACAAGTGCACACCATCCTCCCTCCCCCCCCCTCCCCCCTCCTCAGGCTGGCCTCGTGCAAGGTACGGCCGTCCCCGATCCCCCTGTCCCTCAAGATATGCTCGTGCAAGGTACGGCCGTCCCCGATCCCCCTGTCCCTCAGGATACGCTCGTGCAAGGTACGGCCGTACCCGATCCCCCTGTTCTTCAGGATACGTTGTTGTTGTTAATGATTCGCTACCTCGAACAATAAGTTCCAGGTAACACGGGCTATGGTGAGCCCGTAGACAGTTATGCTCGTGCAAGGTACGGCCGCCACCAACCAAAGTCACAAAGATTCGACTGCATGTTACGAAAACCCAAGAGCAACATTGAAGCATCACAGGACTACAACACACACACACACACACACCCCACAGCCCCGCTCCTATGTCAGGTAAGTCCTCTACGGGCTCACCATAGCCCGTGCTACTTGAACCGTTAAAAATGCGACGCATTAGTACAATTAATACATTGGAATATTGACGTTGTCTGTGCAACAGGGCGAGGAGGGTTGCTTAGCTGTGTACGATTTGTCCAAACAGTTGCAATTATTACGGAGTGGCAAACAGAGAGATAGAACGGTCTAGATAACAACGCAAAAGCCAACCCAGCCTCTAAAGATAATATCAACAATAGAAAGAACGTCCACACGTAAAACGGTACAAAGATATATATATATATATATATATATATATATATATATATATATATATATATATATATATATATATATATATATATTATATATATATATACATATATGATACATGGATACACGAAAGCTGCAGACACATACATCAAATACACCTGTAATTAATACAGAGACACTGCGGCACTACGGGACTCTTGACACACAGAGATACATAAAACATTCACCTCCCCCCCTCCCTTCACCTCGCCCTGCTCACCGAAGCGTACCAAGATTCTCAATGTTGTAGGCACGTGTTCCCGAGGCGGGCCGGGGTGGTGCACGACCCGCGAGGCGGGCGGGGGTGGTGCACGACTCCCGAGGCGGGCGAGGGGTGGTGCACGACCCCCGAGGCGGGCGGGGGTGGTGCACGACCCCCGAGGCGGGCGGGGGTGGTGCACGACCCCCGAGGCGGGCGGGGGGTGGTGCACGGTCCCCGAGGCGGGCGGGGGGGTGGTGCACGACCCGCGAGGCGGGCGGGGGTGGTGCACGACCCCACGGCCTCCCACAGGTTAACTGGTGAGGCTCGGAGAGGCACAAGGCCTGCCAGATGGTGAGTGCGGACTGGTGAAGCTAGACATTAGCAGGCTTGGTGGTGGAGACGACGACTACGACGACGACGGCGACGACGACGACGACGACGACGACTACGACGACGACTACGACGACGACGGCGACGACGACGGCGACGACGACGGCGACGACGACGGCGACGACGACGACGACGACGACGACGACGTCCACTACCACTTCTACCACAGAGTTTACCAAGCACTTAACGCCATCAAAACATTATACAACTTTTGAAGTGTGTTATTTTTATTTATCTCCTTTAGGAAATGTTTACGGTCCACAACACTCATGTCTTCCACTCCAGAGATGAGTGAGAGATGTGATATTATATATATATATATATATATATATATATATATATATATATATATATATATATATATATATATATATATACATATAACTTTAGGCATCGACCCACCAGAGACTTGAACTCTAGCCAGCACAGATGCTGCACTGCAACTGGCAAAGCTGGTACGCCTTTAACCTACTACACCAAACTCAGACCCTTAAAAGGGATGGAAATTTCGGGGTATTTTAACCCCCCAAATATCCCCCCACCCCCAAGGGCACCAGAGCTAGTGAAAGGTCACTCACATTTTTCATCAAGTCCCTGATAATATGGGAGAACACTGTGTCTATGCTTTATGCACTAACTTGCCTAAACTCGCAAGTGAAGTTAAACAACTTTAGACACCTACCCACCAGAAGACTCGAACCCTAGCCAGCACAGATGCTTCACAACAACCGGCATAGCTGGTACGCCTTTATCCCACTACACCAAACTCAGATCCCTTAAAAGGGATGGAAATTTCGGGGTATTTTAACTCCCCAAATATCCCCACTGCGGGAGTGAGCAGAAAGACCTAGCATGGGTGAGGAACTACCTAACAGGAAGGAGCCAGAGAGTTACGGTAAGGGGCAAGAAGTCGGACTGGCGAACAGTAACGAGTGGAGTACCTCAAGGATCAGTGCTGGGACCAATTACATTTCTAATATACGTTAATGACATGTTTACAGGGGTAGAATCCTACATGTCGATGTTCGCGGATGACGCAAAGTTGATGAGAAGAGTTGTGACAAATGAGGACTGTAGGATCCTCCAAGAGGACTTGAACAGGTTGCAAAGATGGTCAGAAAAATGACTACTGGAGTTCAACACGAGCAAATGTAAAGTTATGGAAATGGGACTAGGTGATTGGAGACCGAAATGACAGTACATGATAAAGGGGAACTGTGACGCGAGAAAGAGACCTGGGCGTGGACGTAACACCTAATCTATCTCCTGAAGCCCATATAAATAGGATAACGACAGCAGCGTACTTAACACTGGTAAAAGTTAGAACACCATTCAGAAACCTACGTAATGAGGCATTTATGGTGCTTTACACTGCCTCTGTGAGGCCACTCTTAGAGTATGCCACGCCATCATGGAGTCCCCACCTGAAGAAACACATAAGGAAACTGGAAAAGGTTCAGAAGTTTGCAACGAGACTCGTCCCAGCGTTACGAGGGATGGAGAATGAAGAGCGCCTGAAGGAACTGAGCCTTACGACACTAGAAACAAGAAGGGAGAGAGGGGGATATGATAGGAATGTATAAAATACTCAGGTGGATTGACAGAGTGGACATAGACGAAATGTTCACACGGAATAGTAACAGAACGAGGGGACATGGATAGAAACTCGGATGAGTCACAGAGATGTTAGGAAGTTTTCTTTTAGCGTGAGAGTAATGGAAAAATGGAATGCACTTAAGGAGCAGGTTGTGGAAGCAAATTCTATTCAAAATTTTAAAACTAGGTATGATAAGGAAATGGGACAGGAGTCATTGCTGTAAACAACTGATGAGTCGAAAGGCGGGATCCAAGAGTCAATGCTCGATCCAGCAGACACAAATAAGTGAGTTCAAACAGGTGAGTACACACACACACATAGACACACACCACTATAGTTAAGACCTTTAATGTACCCAAGTTGTGTCATTACGTTTTTTCTAGTAATTTGTGCTTGTACTCACCTAGTTGGTTGAGTTGAGCTTTGAGCTCTTTTTGGTCCCGCCTCTCAACTGTCAATCAACTGGTGTACAGATTCCTGAGCCTACTGGGATCTATAATATGTACATCTGAAACTGTGTTTGGAGTCAGCCTCCACCACATCACTGCCTATTGCATTCCACCTGTTAACTACTCTGACACTGAAAAGTTCTTTCTAACGTCCCTGTGGCTCATTTGGGTACTTAGTTTCCACCTGTGTCCCCTTGTTCGAGCACCACGCGTGTTAAACAATTTATCTTTATCTACCTTATCAATTCTTCTGAGAATTTTGTAGGTAGTGATCATGTCTCCCCATACTCTTCTGTCTTACAGTGTCGTGAGGTGCATTTCCCGCAGCCTTTCCTCATAACTCATGCCTTTTAGTTCTGAGACTTGTCTAGTGGCATACCTCTGAACTTGTTCCAGCTTCGTCTTGTGCTTGACACGGTACGGGCTCCATGCTGGGGCCGCATACTCCAGGATTGGTCTTACATATGTGGTGTACAAGGTTCTGAATGATTCCTTGCACTGGTTCCTGAAAGTAGTTCTGATGTTAGCCAGCCTTGTATACGCCGCAGATGTTATTCTTTTCATGTGGGCTTCAGGAGACAGGTTTGGTGTCATATCAACTCCTAGATCTTTCTCTCTGTCCGTTTCATGAAGGACTTCACCTCCCATTCTGTATCCTGTGTCTGGCCTCCTGTCTCCACCGCCTAGTTTCATTACCATACATTTACTCGGGTTGAACTTTAGTAGCCATTTGTTGGACCATTCATTCAG